AGCTCATTGCACAATATAAAAAGGACAAGAAAGTTCTGCATGTTTGACCAATTTTGTCTCCCTTTTCTACTTTGCTTCCAGAATATAAGGGATTCCACAAAAATGTTAACAACACCAATTTCCCTTTCCTTTGGGGATTATGCTCACTTGCTATACACAAGTGACCATAATGGAGATGTTCCATATAATGACAACAGAAGCATTCGGACATGCGATTAAATGAGCCTCTATTGCACTGAACAGATAGTATTTCTCTTTCAGGTTTACCTTGGAATTCATTCTCAGGCTTTGCTTGGTCTCTCATTTGCCACAATTAGCAGTGTCTGAAATGACTATCACTTTGCACTTGCCAGTTTTCAAAATGGTAACGGCCTGCTATCACAGGACATTATTCAATTAAAAATAAAGGAAGCACTTGTTCCTCTGATGGAATGTGAGGATACATGGTCACAGAATACATCTCTCTGGGACTTGAAATAAAAAATACAACAGGTGAAAGCAGACAATATGTGTCAATACTGTGATGTGCTTCGATCCTTCCTTCTATTTATATTCCACCTCTCTTCCAGTGAACTCTGGCTCAATCTCATGCTTCAATGGGGGCTAGAACTTGGATTTTCCAAGTCCCAGTCCAATACTCAATCTACACTATAATGTTGTTGTGCTTTCTTAACCTCTTATTCTCACCTGTTTTAGCAGTGGGCATGGAAACACTCACGGGTTCTTGGGGGACATACACATATCCCCATGGGATTATGCCAGTGATAGCTAATGGTCACTAAAAATACACAGGATTACTGTTTTTAATACCTGGGATACTCTTGTTCATCTGTGCTCTCGGACACTGCTCATTGCCTAGTGGTTAAACTGGAGTACTGCAGCCAACCTCCTGCTCATAGCCTGAGTTCAATCCTAGGTAGCTGGCTTGAGGATCACTCAGCGTTCCATCCTTCTGAGGTCAGTAAATTGAGTGCCCAACTTGCTGTGGGGGGTGGGGCAAAGTGTAGCTTACATAATTAAATTGTGAAATGCTCAGAGAGTGCTTTAAGCAGTGTGGGGAGATACATAAGCAGTACACTTTGCTTTGCTTTCCTATTGCCTCATCCCACTGAAGAAAAGGCATTTTAATCTACGTCAAACCGAGTGATTAGCCAGTTTGGGAGGCAAATAACTGGTCCCTACAAATGCTGACTTTCTTATGAAGTCTCAAAATGCACGCACTTTTAATATGTGCAGTATACGCTACAATTCTTCGGCAGGCATTCAATCCTCAACAATCGAATGGGGGAAAACAATGAACAAACAAAAGATACCATTTAGCAACAGACATGTTATAAAGTCAAGGTTCCATTAGACTTCTTGATGAAAAACCCAAACAATATTAAAACTCCACAACATCACATCTGCAAATATATCCTTGGCAACTGGGGGGGAAATCACATATAGACTTTATCTGCATAACAGCAAACAGGGATTAGAATGCCTGACACATATTATATCACTGCAGACAGTTTTAAAAAACTACAAAGACAATGAAATGAGTTCATGGAAAGCATGTGTAAAATTAGGGACAGAGTAAATAAAGGCCCCCGTGTGACTGAAGGAAACAAACATGACAACAACACTCAAGGAGGAGACAATGGAAGCAAGCATTTATGGTGAATCGAGGGGGAATTGTGCATGCAGGGAAAAATGCACAGAAATTACCGCCTCCATGCAGAAATGCGGGCAAGGAAAACCTGACACGACAGCTGACTTGAAGTACAGGAGACAGAAAATCCATAACAGCAAACAAAAAATTGAAAGCTGTGGTTCCACTCGTAAATTGCATGCTTCCAAAGGTTTTACACGCACGCTTCTCTACGCATTTTCTTCTGACACCGTTTCCTCTTCAGACCATGACCGAAGACAAACGGAAGGGAAGTGCTCATATATTGCTAGAGTTGGTTGGACTTTTAATAGCAGGAAAGGATTAATATTTAAATACAATGAGGAAAATTTGGGATGGCAGCAGGAAACTAAGAGCTTTCTTTTAATGACCCCAAATGACAAACCACATAAGGTATCATAATCTACCCTCTGAATCTATGCCATAAACACACTACAGGTATTTGACTTGTCTGCTTCCTCTGATTAGCAGTGTTCAGTGCCTTTAGACTTAGGCACTTCAGGAGTCAATCCACACACTGCTGAAACTTGGAGCAAAAGGATAGGGACTTGGGCTGGTCTACTTCAGAACTGGAGTGTGGCTTCTATTCTTAAATGCTTCTTCCTGTTAAAAATGCCTGTGCGTAGTATACAGGGACAATGTCATCACAGAGAAAGCTTTAGCAAAGCCTGATATGCCAGTCCAATGTCTTAATGCAATGAGTTGTTGTTAGCGGGCTTTTCTTAATGGCGAAGGAGCATGCAACAATATGACCTCCCTCTGCTATCTGAACTACCAGAGCTTTGTCATCTTTTTCTATTTGCTCTGTAGCACAGCTTTCCACAGATGGTGGTCATTTTGCGTCTTATTCATACTCTGAGGAAGCTGCACATCTCAGGGGAATTTCAGACTGCAGCAATGTCCTCTAGTAAAGCCCACAGTGCTATAAGAGCCTGAGTGGCTTTAGAGACTGTCTGTGAGTCAGGACTGTGGGTCTCCTGTTTAAACAGGATGATAGTGTCCTGCCTGTCCCATGATAACATTCACACATCCTAGATGCTAAATAAAATTGGCCCTATATGTAAGAACGTAAGAAGAGCCCTGATGGATCAGACCATGGGCCTATCTAGTCCAGCTTCCTGTATCTCACAGTGGCCACACCAGATGCCTCTGGGAGCACACAAGACAACTAGATACCTGTCTCCTGATACCCCTCCCCTGCATCTAGCATTTTAAGGCACCTTCCTTTTAAGCCTGGATATTATACATCCCCATCATGGCTTGTAACCTGTGATGGACTTTTCCTCCAGGAATCTATCCAATCCCCTCTCAAAGACATTTAGGCCACATGTTATTACCACATCCTGTGTCAAGGAGGATGTGATCGATGTTATTTCCCATCCATTCAAATGCCTAGATGATCTGAGCAGAGACCATGGTCTCCACTGCACAGAAAGCATCCTCAGAACACCGTTTTCCATTTCAAGTATAAAAGTATTTTGTACTTTTCACTTCACTGATTTTTACAACCACTCTGTGATGTATAACATGCAGTCATTTTCACTCCAGATATGCCAGACATGAGCTGTGACAGCTGGCACAAAACTACTGAATAAGTCAAAGGGCAATCTAGAAGGAGAGTCCAGACTTTGGGTCATGGGCTTCAGGTCACTCAAAAGGGTGTCCCTCAAACAATCAGACTTTCTAACCGGATACAATGTGCTCCGACTGCAGCTTCACTCTTGGGAATGTCTCTCTTTTTGTTTGTAAGCTTACAGACACAAAGATTAGTGAAGTACATGTATCTGATATGCATTGAGACCTTGCCAGTGGTAGATTACAACGCCATCAGCTAAAATCATCGGATTTGTCTGACAGCGTGTGAGAGTTCAGAAAATCCCTTCATGCTCTCCAGGATTATCAAAGCAATTTCTGTAGGATGTTATCAGATCTCTGTTGAGCTTCTTACAGATTTTTAGAGGTGAATTACTATATTTTCCAGTTGTCAGTGCTATCCCTGTTTCCAGAACAGATTCCTGCAAAGCCTGAGATTCTGGATGATATCTGAAGCTCAAAACAGTGTGTTCAAACCCACCTTCTAGAAACTGAATAGCCATATTTACCATATATTCTGGAGTGTGCCTGAAAAACATGGCCAGAGAAACATCACAGTTACTAAAGTAGATGGTACTTAGCTAAAAAGGTAGACTGCAGTGGGCCAAACCTTAAGAGCTACAATATGTGCAGGGCTGTTGTTGTTTAGACTTTTCCATTTACATTGGAACTCTGCACACGTGAATGTGGAAAACTGCCACATAAGTATGTGTGTTTTGGATGTGTGCAAGTATCTGTGTGCATGCACACATAAACCCAAACAGCACCTGGCTTCTCTGCTTTTCTATATCATACCCTTTGGTTCTGTGAAAAAGCAACAAAAGCAAAAACTGCATCAGAAGTAACCAGGTTGTTCTGGTAGCAGAGAGTGAGAGGAAGTATGTAAAGATGAAAAGGTCAGAAGAAAGTGCAATGGTATAAAGAATGTTCCACCTTAATTTACTGGGAAATAAAGTAACTATGATTTTTCCAGCCTATTATCATCCACTTTTTTTTCCCTTTTGGTTCACTCTCTCCTCTACCTGCTACTGGGAATGAGACTCCAGATCACGCAGAAGTTTGGAAGAAGATAAGGAAAAGGACCAGAGCAGAGGGAATTAGTGAAAAGGGAAGCTATTGCCGTGTCATCTCTTGGCTGGTAGCTGCAGATGTAAAGGTCAAAGAGAGTTATCTCCACACTGCAAGCTGTCCTGAACCCAAGGTGTACCCTACCACGCACCTGGAAGAGTGTGTGCTACTGAATTCCATTGCTAACGAAGAGAAAAAAAAGATAAGTCTTCCAATGGAAGATGTACAGACAGTAAAGAAAGGCAGACAGGTCAGTGCTTTGAATCTTTAATCAGGCCCTGGTGCTAAGGAGGCCCTTTGCAGTACTGATTTCCACGAGAACAGACACAACCCTAAATTCAGTCCTGTTCCAGGGCTGTGTAATTGCACTCTGGAGTAGAGAGCATCAAGGCAGTCAAGCCTGGCACATAACACCACCTACAGCCGCCTGAAAAGCAGCTGTGGCTAAAGGGAGCTCCCAATTAGAATCCCCACTGTAGCAGAACAAGAACTTATTCACTGAGAAAATAATATATATTTTTTTAAACAATAACTCGTATTTGCAAAAAAGAGAGTGGATACAAAGGACAGCTGGATGTGTCTCTTGTGCCTCGGGAGAGCAAAAAAAATGTGGGAGAAGTGGACAAGAACAATTTGAAACCAAGTCTTCGTAAGTGATTGTTGAACTTACTGTTCTCAGAGAGCTCCACAATGTAGTGAAGGACAGGACTGTTTCCATCAAAGGGACGCACCCAGGAGAGGATCACGCTACGGCTGAAGGAAGAGTTCAAGGTGGCCAGAAGGTTCTGTGGAGGATGAGGCAGTTCTCTAAAACGGGGATAAAAGAAAAGAAAAAGAAAAAGCACACATGACGGGAATGGAAAAACACAAGAAAACCTTCCATTGAGAGAATTCAGCCCCACCCACCTCCAACTGGACACCTTCATGTCACTCTGAACACAGTGACCCTGTCTGATTTAGAAGCTAGATATACTTGGATGGGAGAACCAGAGAACATCAGGGAAATCCTGCCTGAAGCCCTGGGAAATGAGTGGCACTCATTACTGGACTCATGGACCAGTGACGTCATTCAGGGAAAGGTAGGTTCCTAAGCTCCTGCACGATTCTGTAGTGAATTCACAAGCATTTAAGACCGCACATAGGCACTATGATGCACCCAAACACTCCAGCTTAAAAAGTGCAAGTGAAATAAAAACAAAGCCTCCTGAATGGAGTGGAGGTTTTCCTCTGGTTCCCAAAGGGTGATTTACGTAGAAATTCCTAAGGTTGACACTTAAATAGCTAATGGCACTGTTACTTAATGTGGGAAAAAAGCCAATTTTCAAATTTGTTTTTTTTAATTGAGACAACTTGATCTATAAATTCTTTTTACAGCGAGTTCTTAGTAATGGAATAGCTGTAAAACATATGGACAGGAGACCCAAGGCAGAGTGGAAGGAAGAGAGGAGGTGATTTAAAGTGGAATTTTTCATACTTAGGCAAGCAAGAAGCATTGCTGTCACCCATGCAGAGTCCCCAGTCAAAATCACTGTACAGGCTTTTAGGTTACTACAATTTAAATTCACTCGACAGTGTGCAGACCCACTGATAGATCCCTAGCATAATAGGGTTTGTTTTCTTTTGGAAAACATCAAAGTATAACCAGTAAAAAATACCAACACTAAATGGAATGTTTTAGAAACAAACAAAGCACAAGCACGCAATGTCTAAAAATACATGTGAATTATGAAAGATACCCCCCTCCCACACAAAGATTACAAAAATGTACAGATCTATGCCTGCAGGAGGGCCTGGCATGCTCTGGTCCATGGGGTCACGAAGAGTCCGACACAACTTAACAACTAAACAATAACAATGACGCAACCCAGATTACTTTCAGTTGAAAAACATCTGGAAAGCTTCTTTTTAAAAATACTTATAGATCTGGAATATGGACTCAACCAGAGAAATGGTGTCTGCGGTAGCTCTTAGGAGTGTAAGAGTTGCTTTAGATTGAAGCAGGGCGGCATTGCTCATACCGACTGTCAGTGGCTCTCCAGAATTGGTGACAAGTGCCCTTCCTGGAGGTTTTTCTTGGTAATCCAAATCAAAGCATGGGGCCTAAGTCTTTTCCACAAAAGAGGTGCAACCAGCCTAGCAATTGCTCACTGACTACTCACTGGAAGTTGTCTTTCTCAATATCAATTATTGCTGACCTTTGCTAGTCAGACTGAAAAGTAGTAATTGTACGTGGGATGCTTTAATTTTTTACAAAAACATATACTAATTTCTTTTCAGAATTTATTAAGCTGATGCACACTTAGTGCTATCTGAAACCGCAGTAAGGTCACCATCATAAACAAGGGCAATTCCAGCCCAGGGATGTGGTTTTAAATCAGAGATGTAAAAACATGCTCTTAATTTAAGATCCCTCCCTGCAGTTGAGGTGAAGCGAAGAAAAATGAATTTAATTTTGCATTAACTCTGAATCACGGTTCATAATCTATTATAATACAAAGCAGGCTGCATAACATGAACTGAGAAAAACAAAATTATGTTTGAGACAGTGAAACTGACTGCAGAAAAGGGAAAGGGCTGTTCTGATAATGTTTCTTAAGCTTCAAATCAAAAGAGATAACCTTCTGTAGAACAAAACAAAAAGATGCTCTGGAGAAATTCTGAAAAGAACTAAAAGTTGTGGACATGACCTTACAAATTCTGTGGCCTGATGCAATAAAATAAAATCTGAGAATGCAACAACAACACACTCTCGCAACTGCAAGCGTACAAGTGTTGCACCATAAGCCTGCCATTTTGATTTCTGGAGCAAAAACAGTTTCATCCCAGACATCAAATGTGCAATTGCTCAGCTATTTGAAGCCACGTGATTTCCATATCTGCTGTTCTTTCACCCCAAATTGAGCTTTCCTTCCTCCTTCCTAGAGGCATTCCTCACTCTCTGTAATGATGTCACATAATATTAATAACCCAATTAAATCTGACTATATAATGACATTACTGAGAACAAATAAAACTTAGATCTAATGAGACAAATCTTGGATTCCTTGGCAATCCTAATCGATTGGGGAAACTCATACTTAATTTATGACATCACTGGGAGCAAAGTAGGGCTGCTCAGAGAAAGCTTCCTGATGGGGTAAGACATTTCGGTATCTTTTTGCATCTTTGCGAAACAGATGGAAAACCAAGGTGAAGATGCAGGGCATTTTAATTATACTGAACACTTTTGCAAAAATAGCCTCCTATTTTTATTTGAGGTCTAATCTGTAACCCTAGAAATTAAAAAAAGACTAAAGTTATCTGGACAGCGTCCTCATACTCTTATGCTGGACCTGCACCTAAGAATGTTTGGAAAATGAGATTTTCTGCCTACTGCAGAATGGTCCAAAGAGCCTAGGTGAAGGGATTAAATTGCCAAAACCAGCTATGCCTTTTGGGAAGAACTGGTGGTTTTGAGTGTTTGTTTTCAGAAAAGGGGGGACAATGTTGCAGTTTAAAACAGCCTGATTATACAAAAGTGCACTATCCAATTGTGGATCTGAGGGACATACCAAGGAAACAGGCCTGCAACTTTCCACTACAAGCCAATCCAGTTCATGTATTCACTAGTTAGGTCAGTTATCCAAAGGCATTCATACAGACTTATTTTACAGTTGTCAGCAAGGTGGCTCCAGCTTTCCGTGACTTTGCTTAAGCAAAATGTGAATAAAGAAGCAAGTTGTCTCCACCCATTTCAAATACTGGTCTTCAGTGGAAATGTAAAGAAACTCCTTGACATCTGAAATGCTGAATGTCAACTTGTCTACACTCATTAGGAAAACAGTTTTGATCCCCGTTTGGGGAAGCACTGTACACATTCATGTTCCTCTCGGGTTTTTCTGAGCTTAAATGCAAGTTCCATCTTAGGGCTTGGTTTCAGTTGATTATCTCTGCAAGCCTTCCTGCAAATTTTCATATTAATATGCTAGATCATCAATCAATTTGAAGTTCTCAGTCTATGCTACTTTCAATTAGTACATGGCATGCTCATTTAAATTGATATCTCGTTGCAAACCCATTTGGTCTCTTCTAGCCAATGGATGGCATAAGCAATAACCTTGAGCCAACATCAGCGAGGGTAAATAATTAACTCGTCTTTTTGGTAAAGCAGCCTTCCGCAATAATGTTCCTTTCCATAAAAGGTAACTGCAGTGAACTCTTGCCTTCTGAAATCTGCAACCAATAGCAACAGACAGTGGTTGCTCACCGAAGCCCTTGTGGGTCAAGGAAACAAGCATGCAAGACACATCCTTCACCAGAAACCATCATTTAAACCGAAGAGGAACTCTTGAGTGGGGAAATGTATTAGGTCTCTCAACTGTAAACATAAGTGGAGATTAACAGTTATTAATCTCACTTGAACAAATGGTTCCGTGTCATATAAAGGAGTATGGAAAATAGTGAGAGCCAAGAGGACAAGTAATTAGCTGCCACCACCATTGTAAACCATGAATGTTATCTACTTCCTCTCTGCAAAATTTCAGAGTCATATTCTTAACATTCCATGCAATAATTTACTCATTAATGGATCTCGGACTACAGCAAATCTATACTAGGCTATTTTCTGTGGCTAAACACTAGAACAGAATTGTCAAAAGGGTAGATATGGTGTCTTTGAACTCTGTACAGGTGTTTGCTGACCCAGTTGCAAAATTACAGTCCACACAGCTAGTATTGGACCTAGCTAGTACTGAGAATCCATGCCTCTCCCCACCCAAAGCAGATGCATGGATGAAAATGGTTATGAAGTGCACATTTTTCTTGCTTCCCATTTGGTTCAATGCATGTCTAAGATTTCATTCTCAGATAGTGAATGTCTGATTACAAGGATGTAATCTAGAGGTGGCACCTTCTGAGATTTGACAAATTTCCCATTTTCCTGAATATGCAAACAAGGGAGAACTGTTTTGTCAGAACCTTAAGGCTGGATAATAAGGATAGTTTTTCAAAGACGATACATGATAGACATGAATACCCCAGTGTTTAAGAAACAGTTCATAATTGCCAGAGGGCAGCGGAAAAATTTACTCGGCAAACACCCACAGACTTACAAAATTAGCTAAAAGCAAGCTATTTGCTAAGGGAAATAAAGCAGGCATATTTTTTGGAAAGACTTCTCAGTGGGGGGGGGGGAGCAGAGCCCAACAGCAGGTAATTAGAGAGACTGTGACTGAAGAGAGGATTACCAAGAAGGGAGGAAGATTAAGCAAGCCTCCTCGTCAATTTACTTTTAAAAAAGAAAAGAAAAAAGAAAGCTTTCTTTCTTGGCTACAAAAGACTTCCCAAGTTAAGTCTGCCATGAAGTTTCACTTATGGTTAAGTGGCTTAGCTGCAGGAAGAAAGGCAAGGCACAACACACACACACACAAACAAACAAACCAATAGGTAGGATTCAAGGCTGAACTAGATGTTCAGTGACAGATTCACATGTGAGAACCAAGTGGGATGGACATGGTGATTTTCTGTGAAGAAACCACCTGGGCAACAGAGAGCATAAAATCAGGTGACATGCAGAGCATGTATTTAGAAGGAGTATGTCCCTCACGTGGTGGAAGCCGGCTAGTTGCTATAATGCATGCTTTTCTTCACCTCTGTGTCTTACATTCCAACATGCTTTGTTGTGTGATTCATCACTGGACAGTAAACATGGGTTTGAGTGCCAAGTCTGATTGGAAAGGTTTCAAAACAACACCCTCATGTGTACTGCACATCATTGGAAGCTTCTTTATACCAGGTCAGGCTGTGAGTTTTTTTTTTCTTTTTGTCTCATTCTGTAGCATTTACAGTGACTGACAACAGTTTCCTAGCATTTTCGAAAGAGGCGTCTTGTAGGCCTACCCACAAAGTCTGGGGATTGAACCAATGCAGAAACAGGGCTCTGTTGCTGAGGCATGACTCCATTATAGAATTTTCACTCCGTAGGAACAGCAACAATTTCTCATCAGAACTGGACCACTTGTGGTCTTGACTTCTGAGAGTTGTGTTTCATTTCAAAGCAAGGTGATCTTACTCGAGAGAAGCCATTTACCCATTTCACTTACATGATAGTACTTTTGGCTTTGAAGGCCCTCTGTGTGGAGGAGGAAAATAGTAGCAGCTGATTTTTCTTTAGACATAGGCTGGAATGAGGACATGCATTTGGGAAATGTGTGTGTGTGTGGTTGTCTTTTCCCACCATTGCAGGTGAATTTAGATGCAGCAGTAATTTTTCTTTGCTGGATAATAGCTCACTAGAGGCCAGAAATTACCAAAAACCTCCTCTATTGTGTGGAAAAGATAATCTGCTTTCTGCCTCACTTCTTCCTGATTGTTCTCACTTAGATGAAGCATGCAGAATAAAAAGAGTAAAAATGGTAAGAGGCAGTCAAAGAAATTGGAGAACTATATGGATCTGGTACCCAGAGCAAGATGGCTTTTTAACAGGGTGTCATTTGGTGTTTTGTTACTATACATCTGTGAGAGTCCCTGTTATTATCTTGCACTTAATAATGGAAAAATTCAAACTGGCTTAGTTTACACTGTCAGCACTGCATTTGTACCTGGACCTCTGCTTTCTCATGGCCCTGTATTTTGCACACACAGTGAGCGTTTGTGCAACATTTCAGAATGGTTTCTGCCATGTGACTTATTTTACATTTGGGATGTTAGGGTACACTACAGACCATGTTACACGGTGATTTTCAAGTCTAGATTCACCGGGAACAGATCACAGCCTACTGATCTAAGCATTTTTTTAATGTAGAAGGTGCCAGATTTGATTCTTGGCATCTCCAGGTAGTATAATTATTGGCAGCACAGCTGCTAAGGGCTTCTTACACCTGACGATGAGAGTTAGATTACAACATATTGTAAGACTGCAAGATTTGGGGAGATTTGCACTTTTAAAGCTTTCTAAATGAATAGCACATCAGCGCATGCTGGATGTTTGGCTTTAATGCTGAGGTTATGAAATGGTCCCAGCCTATTTCTAAAATCAACTATAGAGGCAGAAAGGATTTTTTTAAAAAATAAAAAATTAAGCACAGGAAACAACATTCTGACGGGAATTGTCATCTTAGCACTGGATTTCAACCAGGAGTGTGAATGCACTGCAGGAGAAGCACTGAAGGAGGGAATGTAAAAACTGACGGTTTTCATACAGAATTCAATCAGGGCTTGGCACTGGAAATGTGATGCTGTAATAAAACCAAGCTGAATGCAACAAAATCTCCAAAATGAACACATTATACTGCAGGGTTGAAGAAGCCGCCTCAGGCATCTTCTCCAAGAGAGGATTAGGTGTGACCAGCCAGCAGAAACTTATTCTATTTGGGAAAAAGAAACATTACTACACAAGTGTATTCTAATACCATCATCGCATGTTCTCTAAAACTGCCTGTCTCTTACATTCCACTTCCATTAGAGCCTAGAGATCAGGGCAACCAAGGAAGAACAAGCAATATACACACTTGTATATTGTAAACAAGCAATCTACACACTTCTCACACTTGTATGCATCATCAGGGCATTTAACATTACCAACCGTCATAAAGTGTCACACTTAATGATGAGGATGCAGCAGTCTAGTGTTCTTTTGGACTAAAACTTAAATGAACCCACAGCCAGGATGGCCACTGTCCACACTGCCTGTGGAGAGCTGTAGTCCAAAAACAAATGTTGCACATCTTTGTCCAGCCTGATGCGCTACGTAAGCCTTCACAATCAGACCATGAAGATGTAAGGAGCCTAAACGAAGCTCAAGACCACAGAACTTGGCAGCTAAGCCTTCATTCTCTTATCATCCAGGTGGTACTACAAGGAGGAAGACTGCCAGGCCTATTCCTTGAGGCTCTGCTATGTTCTTATACACCAGCAGAAAAGGACTTCCTTCCTTCCAAGGAATCCCATCTGCTCAAGAGAAAATCAAGTCAGATAATCCAGGCAGCCAATAGTAGACCTGCTGGCTTTATATAAGCTTTCTCCCCAGCTTGTCTCTCTGGTTTGGGAAAGGGAGTCTACACAGTCACTTGCGAGACAAACGGCTAGCCTTAGTCTCAATTCATCTGACCTGAGACTGCCTACTGGTTTGTCCTTATCTACATTTTCCACCTCTCTGGCTTGTTGGGTTGAATTTGCATCTGCTTACTCATGGTTTCCAAACCACCAGCCTGCTTGGATATGGCATTTTGCCTCAGACTCCACTGGGTTTCTTCAAGAACTTCCTTCAGCAAAGAAAGAAATGTGTGCGACACTGGTGCATACAACTGATAGCAGCACAAAACCTTAGTCTTGCCTGGGCCTCAAATAGATGGTTTCGAAATAGATGCTAGGAGCCGGGTCTTCTCCTACTATCTATTGTTGCACAATTGTTCTAGACTTGCATCAGTGCTCCTGACCTGCATCATAAATGGCCTTTACTTCATCTGGTTTATATCTGAAGCAGACTTTGAAAGCATTCAGCTGAAACCTTGCTATGAATGGATATGGATTCTGGTCTATAACAATTAGTAGAATGTCTTTGCACTTATATAAACATCTTTGTATATATGAATACATTTTATATGAATCTACTGAAAGATCAAGAGATTCTATACTTCGTTTATAGTGAACATGAATACCTATTTGGGATTACAATTCTAACATAACATAACATAACAAAAGAAAACTAAATGAATGGAAAGCAAGAGTCAATCAGAGGTCAAAGTTCAAATATCCAAACTGATTAGGAATGCATTAAAAATTCAGTGTTTGGATAACAAAAGTCACAACTAGAGTAGGCCCGCTTGAATCAATGGAGCTTATGGAGAAACTGACTCACCAAATCACCACTGGTTCAATGGACCTAGCTCTAGTGCATGATGCACTATGCTAAGCAACAGGACTTCAGCCTTCATAGAAAGCAATGACTATGCTAAGCAACAGGACTTCAGCCATAGAATGCAATAGCAGGGAACCAAGATGTCCACTTTCTTCTATGTATGGTGAGTTTAGTCACATAGGAGACATCTGCTATGGACTTAAAACATTCAAACTGAATCAAATATTAGGATTTTAACCTTCATGTAACATCATGGACGTGTGTGGTTCCAACACTGTCTGATTCCTCACTAACTACCTTCTACTTGGAAAGTGTTGAAAGGGTTTAAGAGTTGCAGAGGGTGGGTGTGCAATGTTATCTCCTTGCCTTGGACCCAGAATTAGCTAGTTACACCTCTAGCAGTCACAAGATATTTCACTTGGGACAGTCAGTCCCACTGATTCAGTGAAGTCTAGTCAGTTTTGTTAGATTCATTATGTGTCACACATTTATTCTATGCTTTAAATCAGGCTTGTCCAACCTGCGGCCCGGGGGCTGCATTCAGCCCAGGTCGGCTCGTAATGCGGCTCAGTGCAATTTTTTATTTTAAAAGAAATTCCAAAGTTTCAAGTTACACTGTCGGTGCTTGCGGCCGGAATGCGGCTGGGGCACGTCACAACGGTAAGAGGGGAGAAGGGGAAGGAAGGAGCGGGAGGGGAGGGGGGGGCTGCATGACTGCATTGCGCCATCCCCGTCAATAGGTGGACCCCCTCCCAGCCCCATAAAGCCACCGGAGTTGAAGCTGGCAGCCTCTGCTGTCTGAGATCGCAGCTGCCGGTAAGCGCGCTTTGAGCAGGGCAGCGGAGGACGGCTAGGGCTGCCCCCCCATGCGGCCCAAACCGAATTTTCATCTTCTAATGTGGCTCAGGGAAGGTAAAAGGTTGGACACCCCTGCTTTAAATGCTTCTAGACACAAATGTGGTAGAAGAAAGAAGTGGCTTTGTTTCTTATAACAAATGGAAACCCAAAGTTTTAAAGAGTGGAACAAGCTAAGTGGAAAATCATCCCTGGTCATTTGTTAGGGGAATACTCACATCACTTCCATGCGAGCCACCCTGGAATCATTTCCTCCAAAGGAAGTCACTTCACACGTGTAATCTCCAATGTCACCGGACCACGTTTGGCTAATGGTGAGGGTGCCATCTTTCTCAACAGTGATTCGGGAGCTGCTAGATGGATTTATGACAACGTTGTCCTTCTTCCAAACATACCTGATTGTCACAGTATTTCAGACGGTTAAAGTCAGTGGTCTATTTCGTTAAAAATGATGAAATATCAAGTGCTGAAATTATATGGTAAAAACAGAACTAAATAATTATGTAGAAGAGTGATGCTTGCTTGTAATCTTCCAAGGGCTCATTTGAATGCAGTGAATGTCTGTCTAGACTACAAGACTAATAAAACATGCTATAGTTCAAGATGAAGGGTGCAGTCCTCCTCGTTAGAAATCAATGGAAACGTTCCCATTGATTTTTAGTAAAGTAAGCTTGAAGCTAGAAGGGCCAATCTGAGCCAGGTTGTATCTGTCTGTGTTTTGATTTCAGTTTTCAGAAATGCAAAGGAGCAAGGACATACTTCTCCTCAGCTTGTTTTTATTGTATTTCCTTTTTTCAAATGTTTTGTTCATTAAGTGAATATATAACTTTCGTGGCTTGCTCAATTAATAATTCCAGCATCTCCAGAAACCCCAGGGAACAATCCCAGACCACCAGGTCCAGCACTCATTCTGGGCTCTGCTTGCATCTCTCCATCCTAATACAGACTGGCCTCAGTTCATAGACCACTGTGTCACAAATGACATTTCTAGATTTAGGTTGGGCATTCATAATAAAGGACAATGAACTGCTCTGGGATAGATTTTAAACAGGGAGGGAGGATGTTTGAATAATATTTTGCTATACCTGTCAAAGAATAGATTGTAGCCTACCGTAAGATGCTGTTGCAAATACTACTGAGGTAATGTATGTGAAAGCTTTCCATACCATAAATGATAATTAGCATTCACTTTTCCTCATTTTTAAAATCATCATCTATTCCTTTTTCTTTATGCCTGCGCTTTCAATATTATGATTTCTTAAGAAAAACTACTTTACACCATTAGTAGTGGGATTCATAGTCACAATACTACCAGCATTTAGAAGAAGAAGAAGAAGAAGAAGAAATCTTCGAAGGCATTGCTGCTACCATTATGCAAATCTAGATTCCTTTCCTTTTTCTTTAACACAACTGGCGTTGTTTAACATTTTCCAAAAGGATATGTGGCATGCTTAACTGGCTTTTCCATTTTAAATCTGTGGTACTTTTCTTTTCCGGACATGTTCATTGTGTCAAAGAAATAGAGAGGGAATTCCTCTTATTCCTGCTCACAGAATCTGACAGTTTAAAGACACACAATACTTTCTATTCTGCAGGACATAAACTGGCTCTTTGTTATTTTCTCAGAAACAGTAGGGATGCTTTCAAGAATTTTCAAGACCCTCTCTATAAATATTCCTATAGCCCCTTTAAATCACTTTGGGTGTGATTCCCATTAAATATCAGCTTTTGAGCTTTTGACAAGTCAGTTTTACTGATATTGTATTAACCTTGACAGAAAATCATGGGAAGTTGCACTGAAGTCCTGAAGTAGAACTAGTTCATTGTAAATAATATATAAGTTTGAAGTAGAAAATAAAAAGGACTTGATGTGATTAATGGCACAACCTACAACCTTTGGACACTGTCACTGGGAATACCAGCATAAAGCCTGGGGCCCAGAAAACGCTCACCGAACACAACAACTGGTGGGCTGACAAATTAAGTTCAAATAAACTGCTCAAATAACTGCAAACATCACCAACCTGATTGAAATTCTGGGGTCATGAGCAGCCTCACACTGCAGCATCGCTGTGGTTCCCTTAATAACAGTGCTGTCCTCAGGAGGGCGAACGATAAAAGTGCGATCTGAAAAGAACACGACCCATAGCTCAGGTAAAATTGACAACTTCCATTTTGACTTGGGTGTTTGCCCTCCCAAGATAGTAAAGCACGTTATTTGTCATTCCAGATCAAAACATTTTTGCTCCCCTGGCCCCTGCATCCAGCAGACATGTGAAAATACAAAGTTTGGTGTGGCCGCTGATTACTGGAAAGGTTTCATAAGCAATCATGTCCTCTTCCCATCTTTAATTTCTCATGGGATTCCAACTGAAAAGCAAGTCTGATTTTACCAACTAAGTTTTTTTAAAATGAATTAAGGGTGGTGTTAAAGAGCATGAAACATTCTTGACTATAATCAAGAAATCAGGAGATAGTAAAGACCTTAACACTCTCACTACTGTAGATCATCTTGCATCTTAACCACAGTGCAAAAGCTGTGATCTTATGCACACTTTACATTAACTGGGGTTGCCCATGAGACGAGGTTTCCAAGAGAAGTTTAAGGTGGTTTTTGAAGAACACCATGATTTAAGAAGGCAACCCTGTGTGTGTGTGTGTGTGTGTGTGTGTGTGTGTGTGTGTGTGTGTGTGTGTGTGTGTGTGCGCGCGCGCGCGCGCATGCGTGCGTGCACACGCGTGTGCATGTGCGTGTGTGTTTGTGTGTGCTAGAATCAAAGTCACTAATGGATGTGAGCTATTTTTAATAACACAGGAAGATGCATGTGTCCACCTAGCCCTGAATTGTCAACAATGACTGAAAGCTGCTTTTCAGAGTTTCATGCCATACCTGCCTTGGAGATGCCTAGAATTAAACCCGAGATATTCTGTATGCAAAGCAAGCTTCCTATCACTGAGCTACAGAGGGGTCACTCTACAATATTCCATACATATAAGAGGTGATAATTAATGCCTGAGAGTTATTAAAGTGTTTTCATTCAAACACACCCAAGAAATGAAGTTCACTGAAGCAAGCAGTAGGTGTGCAAAAAACCCCCAAAAACCCACACACATAAATGGAAGGGCTGCTACAGAGTATATCATCTGGATTGAAGTGCAAGAAAAATGCAAAATGGGAAGTAGGTCTCCCTTCCCCCCCCCACCAGACAGAATAAAACCCCTAAAAGATGTGCATACAAAGAGCAAGATTCAAATGTAAAGCATGAACATGGGGCATCATTAAGAACTATGTCCAAGAGTACTGAAAATTTCTACTCTGCCTTTTAAGTTATATAACAGAGTAATTCAGACTGATGTGTGATTAAATTAAATTAACTCAAATGTAAAAGTTTCAGTAGGCCTTAAAAATGAATGAGCAACCTGTGCATGTGTATAAAGGATATTGAATTTGATTCTGAAAGGAGATTATTTGCACTCACACCCCATGGACCTACACTTTGGTAAAGAACAGCTTGTCTCCACACAGCATTAGGAAGGTGCTAAATGAACATCCATGTGATAGCCAGGCCTTTGAGTACATGACCTGGTCAAATAATCTGCACATACCTCTAAGAGTGTCACATTGGGATGGCTTTAGCATAACCTAACAGGGAATTTGCAATACAGAGATGTCAAATATGCAAACAGTACTGTCAGGAAAAAAAAATCAGACTGTTGGTCGCATTTCATAGCCAGTGACAGAAGAAAACAAAAATCTTAAATCCTAGACTGTTGACTATCTGTGAAGGTATTAAAAGGAATTCTGCCCTTAATGGCCCATGTCAGAGCTCCTAGAAATCTCCAGCCAACATGAGCATGGATGCTAATTGTTGCAGTCCGAAATGCCTTGGGTTAGTCCTTCAGCTTGTGACTTAGATGGCAAATATTGGTTTGAATGTCTAAAAACAATCACAAAATACTAAAGAGCAAGAAACTTGGAAGAACTATTCAACGAAAGGATTCACATGGAAGCAGGGATGTACATCCTAACTTTGTGATTTCTCCTGCACAAAATTAGGAGCTGCAAAAAATTTATTTCCTTGCAACAAAACAGTAAAAGGGCTTTACCAGTCTCAGAAATAATTTTCTCATTTGCAGGATTAATCTTTAAACATTGCTGTAAATGCACAAAATTTAAAACAATGATAACTGCTGCCGTTTTTCTTGGACCATTAAAAACAGACATGCTACATGGGCTGCTAGCCTCTGCCTAGGGTGATCAATCTATCGTTTTGTACTTGGTGTGTGGGTATAAGACTCGAATGTCATTTTGCACAGATTGTGGAAACCATGATCAAAATGGTGCTAGTCAACTTACACTGGATATATGATTTCTCACAGAAATGTGAGAAACTTCAGCAAACTGCTGTGCTCAATTGAGAAATCCTGTCTCAATCACAAATAGGACAGACTAATAAATGTTCTTCATATCACTAGATTTAAGTTCTCAAAGATATCCTAGGCACTTCTTTCAAATAAATGCATAATTTCCATCCGCTCTTGTAGAATTATTTAAGTCATCTCTAATAGCCACATTGATTAGTCCCGCTAAATTATTCAATTCCTATCCACCCCCTATCACATGGAGATTTTGGAAAACAGTTTCCTAAGGGCATAATGATAGCTCATTGGCCCTTGATTAATATTAAAGTGTAAAATAAACAAGGTCCTTACTCCACACAGTGAGAGCAGCAGAAGCATTTAGGGTTCCTTCAGCATTGACTGCACAGCAGGTATAGTTGCCAGCATCTTGAAGAAAAACAGGTGTTATCTGGAGGCCTCCAGACTCAAGAAGGAAGAACCTGGGGATCTGAACAGAACCACTGGCCAAAATCTGGTCGCCTGAAATACAGCATGTGAGAATAGGTTCATTTTTCTGACTTGTAATGCATGAAGAAGCTAATCCTATACTAATTCCTCCTGGCGAACAGTAGTAATTAGAATGATTTGTCAACAAAATAATAAGTTTTTACCCTTCTTCCAAGCAATGGCAGGTTTTGGAGCTCCTAAAACATCGCATCTTAAAACTGCACTCATTCCTTCTGTAACAACGGTATCTGCTGGTGGCTTGGAAAAAACGGGTGCAACATCTGGAATAAAAAACAATTTAAAAAACAATTTAGCGGCATTAACACTTTGAAAGTTCTCTAAATTCCTTGTGGAATTTTTATCTATTTTTATCCCACTAGTAATGGACAAGCACATGGTAATAACATGAAAGCCTTTCAGAAGAGACAGTAACCTTTCTTTATTTACCACCAGGGAATTCTCCAAGTTGGGGTTATTGGTTAAATGAATAAAATAAAATCCTAGTGGCACTCGTAAAAGTACAAGCAACAGGCTTCGAGAGAAAGCAAAAGGGTTTAAAATGAGAGTTTGGAAGAAAGTGAAAGAACTGATATAAATGGAATTTTCATTGTCCTAGCCTGTTTCTTTAAGATGAAAAGCAAGTTATGTCTGACATTAGTTTGCAAAGCTAAATGTCAGCCAAAAAAAAAAAGTTTCCATCTGATTCTCATCCAAGGTATTTCTACCCATCTTTCCCTGCCATTACATCTGATCATGCCACATTCTTTCAACTGCCAAATGGACAGATCAAACAGGAGCAGCCTTATTATCTGTAGCCCAGAAATAATATCAGGCATTATAAGAGCACCATATGTGTTCAGAGGAACACCTAGCAAAGATCTAACAAGGGAGCCTCATGCCAGTCACTGGAGATGCTATGGCCAGGTATCCATCCAGTCTGTATCTTTCTAGCCTAGTAGAAACCCTTTTCTCTAGCTAGTAAAGGTCCGATTACACTGAAAAGTGATTTGATCTGCAACTTGCACTAATTTGAAATCACAATAAGTGCTCACACAGGTGTTGTGGATTGATTCAGGAATTTATCCTTCATACTGGATGTGAGTCACATTCCAGCTCACATCCCTCTCCCTTCCTTCCTTCCTTCCTTCCTTCCTTCCTTCCTTCCTTCCTTCCTCTAGCTCCACCTCTGCCGACTCTTTTATGGTTCTCTGTGAAGCTGCTCTCTCATTTGAAGCTTCAGACTACTGTATTTCTCAAAAACCTTTCTATATAAAAATAACATGGAACAATGTATTCGCGAAGGCTCTTCAGAGCACAGGTTGCTGTCCTCTGAAGATGCCGGCCACAGAGACTGGCGAAATGTCAGGAAGAACAACCTTCAGAACACGGCCAAAGAGCCCGAAAAACCCACAACAAACATGGAACAATACTTAGCAGACTTACAACACAGACCATCAAATGTTTGCACAGTAATTTTGCAAAATACATCAAAATTCTAAATCAGAATAATTCCATAACCTTTCCCTCCCATCTGTTACTCTTTTCCCTTACTTTCAAATAACACATGCAGGAATGCAGGCTCTGTCTCAGAAACTTTCCTCTGCCTCTTCCACATTCTGACTGGTTATGAGACTGTTTGCACTTACTTGTAACATCGAGGAAAGTATAAGTCTGCATTTCCCCAACCTCATTCCTTGCAAAACACTGAAATATCCCAGAATCATCAGGCTTAAGTCCTTGGATCTGAAGACTCCCATTAACCAGAATTTTGTATCGAGGATTCAGAAGTTTATGGACAGGCATGGCATCTTTATACCATATGAGATTAGGAAGTGGGACTCCTGCAGAAGACAGAGAGGGTGAAAACTCTCAGTGTACACTAACTCATTGCTCTGTGCTAATCTCCCATGGCCCCTTATGGGATTTTATACAGATAAAGCATTCAGTAAATAACTGCTGGACTATAACTTGTTCAAAGAAAAAAAATCTAGAAAGCATAATGGCAAGCCATTCCATATCTTTGAAGAATTACAACTTTTATGTCTTTTATTTGTCATAATGAAATTACATGCCAGAATTAGAAAAGCCTCAGGTTGAACTGTTCAGCTAGGGGTTTCAGTTAATCATGTCAAGTGAGCCCGGAAAAGGCCAGATGACAAGGCAGTGACTATTTGTAATATTTTAAAGACTTGCACTGCAATTCTGTGCACCCTGACTAAGAGTTATAGTCTTCTGAATTTGACTTCATGCAAAATGAGCAAGGTTTTAAGCATCTAGAACACTGCAGCTTCTATGTATAATCTCTGTATTGATACAGATGGGAAACTGAGGCTGATCCACTTGCCATGGCAGTGGAATAGTTAGGTGGCTATGAAACAGACAACATTTTTATTTGAATTATTAATTTCATGGCATTTGCCAATTAATTTTCAAGAGTCCTTGACAGCATGTCTTTTTTGCTGTTGAAGCCATAATCAAAGAGTTCCCATGGTAATTAATACTTCCAGGGTACACAGTAGCTGGAACAGTAGCTGATCTTTTGACAGGTGAGGGCAAACATACTATTTTCCTGACATTACTCATAAATAGCTGTGAGGTACATTAGAAGGAAGGGATGTTCTCTCACATTCTACTGCCAAGCCAATACTTGTTATATATGAGCATAACAGTTTAGGACACACCTCTGTGCTATCCTCAATAACCTTATTCTCTTATTCTGAAGCTAGATATAAGAAATCTAGTCACTTCAACAGAGAAATGGAATGGATCAAAGAATGGGTTGAGAAATGTAGATCAGGAAAAGCTCCATATAATTTATTACACTGGAAATGGATCTGAGTATTCCAAAGAGCATGGCTTGCCCATTAATTTTAAGGAGAGATTCATACACACACACACAGCTGTGTGTGCAAGGAATGACTTATTCCTAGGATAATGTTTTTATCTGCTTTCAAAGTCTGAATGTTTATGGATTTCTGGATCAAGGGGAGAAACTTCTGTTAGATCACCAAGAGTACCAGCAAGCTTTCAAAACCATACGTAGAATGAAGAACCATTCTTTTATCTGAGCATTGTAAGCCAATGTCGGCCATATCCAGCATGCAAACTCAAAATTTAAAAATCAATGCAATGTGAGCAACTCGAAAAGGAAAATGCGACAAATACTATGCAACACATTACCTATCCTTTTGTGGGAGAATGAAAGATGCATGATTTCCTTCAAGAACACAGCAACAAATGAGAAAAGGGGGGTTTTTTTAAAGGAAAGGGGAATATCTGAGCAGTGATGAAATTATATTTCTGTACAAGGATGTAATCAGTTGTTGAAATTGCATTTGAAGTTTCCATTTTGCTTGAATAATAAAGCTACTTATTGCCTTAGAGCATCATCTTTTGTGTGCTATGTGTGTTGTTTGACGCAAAATAGATGCAGTGTACCATTGTGAAATAAGCACAATTTAAATTTCACAGCAAAAACCCATCTATAGAATTTGTGCACAGCCTGATTGTCAGAATTCTTCCTGCAAATGTTATTAATCTCATGAAATCCCCCAAAGCAAATACAAATTGCCACTGAGTAACAAAGAAACAGATGATACAAACAAGAAATAGCATTCTAGACAAAGAGCACTGCAAATTGGTTGAAGCTTTAAAAATAACAATTGAGGAACCGCAAGAGAGCAAAAGCTGGCATTTGACAATATTCCTCAAATCCCTTTCGACCATTTAATAATTTTGACAAATTTTTAATTAGACTACTAGCCTGACAGCTGGCTGGCTAGCAGTTTCAGTATCTGGCTACAGAGGTTGGTAGTTCAATTCCCCAATGTGCCTCCCGTGGATACAGCCAGCCTGTGTGGCCTTGGGCAAGCTGCACAGTCCCAGGACACCCCCGAAAGAAGGGAAGAGTAAACCACTTCTGAGAATTCTCTACCTGGAAAACTCTGAAAAGGATCACCATAAGTCAGAACTGACTTGACGGCATATTATCATTATTCATTTATCAACAGGAGACCATCCTTCTAACTATCCAACCTGACAAAACAATATTGTTTCTTCCCATTTTTCTTATGTTTTGAATCTGTCTGCAAAGTGGCAACACATTCTAAGCATTCTGAATCTTCACAGGAATATTAAAACGCTTTAATTGTCCTCCCACAGAAAGCCATGAAAAAAGCATCAAATGCTGTTCTGACCCACTGTGCTTTTCTGAGCACAGCAGTCAATGGAAAAATCTATACACAACGTTTTCCTTGTAATATTTTAAGAAGCCTCAAAAGATTCTGATGCTTTTGATGGAAAACTCACATCATCAAAAGTAGAGAGAGTGCTTTTTTCAACATTTTTTTTTAAAGACACCAGAGAAGAAGTCTTTTTTTGTCAGGCTAGGTGTATAATACATGAGTGAAGTTTAAAATTATATAGTAAAAGATGCTTGAGATAGCTACAGGAACTCACAAATGGATCCACTAGAGGCAGCTTCGCAGTCAAGAGTTTTGGTTTTCTAAATGATTCAATTTCTTTTTCCTCTGCAATGATGCATTTTAAAAAAAAATTTAATAGAGTGATAGGAGAGAAACTGAATAGAAGTATCCAGGAGGAGCTCATGATTGTTTGACTGGACAAACACAAGCTCTGCACCGCAAAATTTTATTTCAGATAATTACTCGCGCATTAATAGCCTGAATAAAACTCAAATCATGATGTCAGCTATTCATACCATGCAACTTATTCAAAACTGTGAAATTTAACTTTGTTGATTTATGCAGCTTAAAAAAGCAAGTTGCTACACATTTCATTCCACATGTGAAAAACCACCCAACGTAGTCCACTGCAAGCTGCTTTATATTTGTATCCTGATCTTGCACAAGAATGATAAGCAACACAGTCTCTCCACTGGAATGCAATAAATAAAATACTTGTGAGAGTGTTAAGAGGCACCTATTTAGTTTTAAATAGTGGATTTGAGTAAAGATAACCCCAGGGTCTACTGCAGATCCCCTGTGCCTACGACACATATGTCAAACTCAAGGACCATGGGCCGAATTCAGCCCGCTGGGCCATTTCATGTCGCCCTCGTTGTGTTGCCTGCAACTGTGCAGTATACAATACGCAGGGGCTTACGCAGTCACCCATAATGCTCCACAAAGATGCTAGGAATCCACCCAGCGGGACTTCTACTCCCAGCATTCCAAGCAGCAAAGAGTCAGAAAGTGATCATTGAATGAGGAGGATTATAATTAATATGATAAAGAGTATACAGTGGTGCCTCGCATAACGATGTTAATTGGTTCCGAAAAAAAACGTTATGTGAAAACATCGTTATGTGAAGCACCATTTCCCATAGGAATGCTTTGAAAACCGGTTAATCCGTTCCAATTGGAACGGATTATCCGGTTTTCTCCCTCCCCCCGCAGCTTGGATCTGACCCACGGCGGCTACCTCAGCCATGGCTGGACTCCCTAGAGATCCAAGCCGTGGGGGGAGGCTGGGTGCGGACACCCCCCCACCCTGCAGCCACCGCTTGAAGCCTCCCCGTGTCGCTTTCCCCAGCCGTTCTCGGACTTCCAGGCGTCCGAGAACGGCCAGGGTAAGCGGCGTGGGGAGGCTGCCGGCGGTGGGGACAGGGTGGGGGGGTGTCCGCAAAGCTTCCAGGCAAAGGCCTGGAAGCCTTCGACACCCCGGTACCCTTCCCCCGCTGCCGCTGAGAGCCTTCCGAGCTCTCAAAGGGCTTTCTCCAATATCGGAGGGGGCCCTTTGAGAGCTAGGAAGGGAATTATCGGCAGGGGGCGGGGGCTTCGG